GTAAAACTTTGTTTTTTATTGTTTTTAATAATAAGTATAAAGCTTTCTTAAACTAAGGTATAGGAACCGGACATCATACTGCAAGTTAGATTTTCTAATTTTTATAAAATTGAATTGTGTATTTTAAAAGAACAAAATATTAATATTTGCGTCATTTAAGAAACTAGAGGTATCGATATTTTTATATTACCAGCGGTTTCAAAAATAAACGGCGGGTAGGAACGTTTGTGGACATGGTTTATCCATTTTATTATTACTAATCCGGTTTTCTTGCTAAAAACGAGCAATTTACACTGTTATTTAGTATCTAGCAGAAAGTACTCATTCCTTTGTACGTTCAGGAAATGTTTCTTGAGCTTGAAATAGAACTTATATAAGAAGAAATTCAAATAAATGTATATTTGTAACTTATATATAATACATAAAATACAACATATAAAGTACAATGTTCTTGTAAGATAACTTATATAAGAAGATATAATGTAAGATCATATTATATATGAACTTGAAAATAACTTCTTATATATATCTTATATAAACAGAGAAATTAAGAAATATTATTATTTTTATTGAATCAGCATATACTTTCAGGCGTATTTGCAACTATTATGTGAAGCTTAATCTAACGAATATTAACTACACTAAATATGACATAATATGATTTAACCGAGGCCTACAATTTTAATAAATACAAGCTCCAAAGCTTCTTTTAAAACTAGTCTAAAAAGTAACTTCAAAATTTAAAAAATAATTTTTCCTCACTTCTTTTCATGAGAAAAACAAATAAATTCTTTTTAACCGGTCAAGGTTTTAAAAAAGTAGAAAACTTGGGTAAGTTAGAAAAATTTAGCTGCTTCCTCGAGAAAAGCAGTGTTGTTCAAGATTAATCTTTAAAGTATGGAAAAATGAAGATTTTTGCTGACAACTTTTGTTAATGTTGAAGTTAATTCACTATATATGTTTTCTTTTTTAAAAATGAAAGAAAAACAGAAAAAAAAGAGAACTAAAAATAGTTGAAATATCACGTCAGTGGTAAAACGCTTTCGAGGTACGAATTCCAAGAGATTGACTCAATACTCAAAAAAATCATATAGACTTTGAACACTACTCTTTATTAAAATGTCGCAGTTTACAGTTTTGATTAAAGTTCAAAGTATTTAGCAAACTTATGAATTTTCTTTATATCTAGTCATACGTAAATGGAATAACGACATTGATGATATTTTTATCACAATTACTAGGCTACTGCATTAGCATTACTTCATTATGTTTCATTTAATGAGGAATATTATAATTAATAGATTAATCGAGAGTTTATGAATTCCATTAAATGGAACATCGAGTACAAAAAAATTGTTTAACAATTTTTCTGTTTGAGGTTACTATTTAAATTTTATTCGTGTATCATAGATGTATTAGAATGTTGATTAGATTTAAAAACACGTAAAGAGCAGGTACCTTCGAAATGTCAAAGTATGTAAATAATATATTTCATTATCTTTCGAATTACTTGGTTTTTTTACCTGAAATTTGGTGTACTTATTTTGATATTCTTGATATTAATTAATCTAGAGTTTAAGAACTCCATTAAGTGAAACTCTGTTAAATCTTATGTGATAAGTCATAGGTCGTTTGCTGGCAGAAAGAAGATTACACTTTCATAGAAAATGCTTAATTTTTAGGCAAGGAGGAGAACTCACAAGTTTCTGAATAAGTAATTTAAGATGTCACTTCCGATTAATTCCAATAAAAAAACGAAACCTCTTTCGTAATGAACCAAAAGCTACTTCAAACTAGATAGAAACAAATTTCAATTATTTTGCATCTGATTTTTGCTAGCAAAATCTCTCTGCCATAAAATGATTACGTGAGGATTATTAATGCTGTTTCTGTAAGCAACGGTCACTTTAAGGATGCATCTTTCATAATTTTTGCTCTCAAAATTATTTAAGATCTTCAGTTCCTAATATCATTAATTTACAATTAATGAAGTTAAGAACTAAGATATTGATTCTAAATCTACTAAACTGAGAAATTTCAATAATAAGTACATTTATTGCACTCCAGACCATTATCGATAAAAACATTTCTAGCTAGGTTTCCTGGAGTTAATTCAAGGATTCCGCAAAACTTAAGTGCTTTTTTCATAACATTTATGAACGTAACTTATAAAAGCAATAAATATTATTCCTTCAACGAAATTTAAAAAAAAAAAAAAAAAAAAAGAACAATAACTAACCCTCACTTCCCCTTACTACTTACTAATTTGGATCATAGGTGTAAATGCTAACGTTTGACTTCTGAAGTCTCAAGTTGGTATGGTGCTATTGGGACAACTTTTGGTACTTCACAGCAGCTGCGTAGGGAAATCTCCCAGTATCCTGGTATCGATAATTAATTCCCCGGTTCATTTCTTTATTGACTACTACAGATTGAGAATCCCACCTGATGTAGAAATGCAGGGGAATCCCGTGTACATTAAGCATAAGGATGCTGCGAGTAGCCTGGCAGATTAGTCGTTGTGTGTCATATTTAACATTAATTGATTGAACATTTTTGCTTATTAATAAACTTTATTGGTTCTTATAATATCAAATCATACGATTAAAGACGTAACATCTCGGCGGCAATAAGGTAAAGTATAAGGAAATCCAACTAGGATAACAAAATTTTATTTTTCGACGACTACACACGCATACAAAATGAATCAAAAGTGCAGCTACATTTTATCGCGCGCACCTTCCAAATGAAATATTATCCTATCATACGTTCCGCAGCAGATGTTAAAATGCGCTTGGTGAATCACCATTGGTTATTGCAGAAGATGTTAGCGTTCGCTTGGTGAATCACCATTGGTTTTTAATTACCACGTGACCCCGTGCAGATGGAGATGAGCTGTTATATTTTGTCTTGGAAGGTTTAAAAGCTAGAAATTGTGTTAATAATTTGTTCGTGTTTTATATTCCGCTGTTAACAATATTATCAATGTAAAAAGATAACTGTCAGTGCTTTTTGTGTCAATATCGTTTTGGATACTTTGTTGTAGGACAGACAGGTGACTTAAGGCATTCTAAAGCGTTTGCCGAACTTGACTCTCCTTCTGAAATCGCTCCAAAAGAAGTTGAGGCTTCTATAAGTAATCAACGCAAAGAGACTATTAAAAAGGCTTCATAAATAGTTCTATCAGGTAGTTCATTGCTGTAAAGAATACTCAATTGCGGAAAAAATAATTAAAAATTCCTCTATGGAGATCTTAAAATGTATGTTAGGAAAAAAAAAAAAAAAAAACACCAAATGAAATAGTTAAGTTCCCACTTTCGAAAGACATGGTAGCTCAATGCATCGGAGATTTAGCAGCCAAAATAAAGAATGAACTTACTTTTGACAATGAAATCACACACATTTTCATTGCAAATGCTTGAATCTACTTATGTAGCTGGATTCGCAATATTAATTGTCATCGTTAGGTTATCAGCACGAAAAGACATTATTAGCCCAAAGGGGAAATTTGCCCAGAAGGGCTATTCATTTCTTTTTGTCATTTCACCTCGTTCACTTTAAAAAAGCGGTTCACTTTTCAAATTGTTGCCACCAAATATTAGAGCCCTGCATTACATTTTAAGAAATTAAATAACGAAGAATCTGCATGAATGTATGTATGTTTCTCGCACTGGGAAAAAAGAACTGCACCTAAAGATATCAAATTTTGAAGAACGTAGTCTTCCACTAGAATATACGAATGTGGAAGCCCAAATTTGGATTTTGTTTTATTACCTATTTCATATTTTGTAAAACTTTAACGAATTTCTAATTAACAAACTCAACGATTTCGAAGCAAGCAATGGCAACACTGTACGAAAATAAAGAAATATTTTTATCTCCAGCGCGCGAGATTGTGTACCGGAAATTCTAACAATATACACTTTTATTTTGTGATACTGCTGTTGAATTGAATTTTACGGTTTAAGCGCGAAGAAAATGATATTTAATAAATAAAGGTGTAAAGACATTTTTTTTAAAGCAGGAGAAAGGAAAAATTAGCAACGCCTTCGCCGGAAATCGAACCACGGAGCTCTGGAATACGCGCCAAGCGTGCTGACCACTACACTACGAAGGCATGATAAGAAAGCGGAAAAATACCTTATAGAGGTAACACACAAAACGTCAAACAAATGCCCCATTGGGCGTCATATAAAATCTGAAAGATTTCAGTTTTTTTTTTTTTTTTTTTTTTTTTTTTTTTTTTTTAGTTTAAAATTATTTATATAATTATAATATTAATAACTTTCCAGCAGAAATGAAAGAATTGCAGCATGATTGAAATGACTCGATATGAGTTAATTATTGACTGATAATTTAAACACCCGATCAAAAAATAATTCTGAGATTAATTGCGATCTAACTTTGTAGATACAGTTATCAAGTCGCACGTTAAATCTTTAGAGAAATCTATTTTTCGTTGAGCAAAATAATTAACTATTGCAGTTTTATGCATTCTTAATTTTAATTAGGTGCGAAGAACTAGTTTTGCATGACTAAAACAACGACATCTTTTGTCTTCCCCCAATCAGAACTTTCCTCCAAAGACTTTAATGGATAGAGTTACTTTTTAAGAGAAAATAACGGGACTGTTCTATTGCTAATAGCTGTAATCGGAAGTCTTGCTGTGAGTGAAGGACGAAAGGATTGAATGCTTAAATTGGGTTTTTATAAATAACTTATTATTTTCGGAATAATGAATGACATTGCTTTCCAGCTCGAAATAAGAGAAATATGAGAGATTTAAGATCGAGCACAGCATGATGTGCAATGACATTGACAGACATTGATGTTAGTGTACATTGACAGCCAAAATATTTCGTATTCACTTCCTATTAGCTGCTGCTACTTAAATTTGCATTTCGTTTTGAAACAAGATAAAAGAAACCTGAAGAAGGCATTGTACTTATAAATACCAAGATAAAAATAAAAAATAAATCTAGTATTCACATATATTTTACCTGTTCCTCTGGCCCATGATTGGTTTCCTTTAGCTTCGTTCTGGAATAATTCAGTATAAAGAAAGGCATATTCACCGGAGGATGTCATCTTCAGATGTTTTGCAATCAGCATCATTTCTCGTACGTCTTTATCTCCTCCAAGTATGACAATAACTAAAAAAAAGGCATAAATTAAACATTTTGTATAATAATAGTCGATTTTTAATGTTACAATGAAAACTGTATCAGCTGATTCGCACTGATATATTTCTTATTACTACCTGGTAGAACGATTCCATATTAGTACTAGATACAAAGCTTTGTGTCCTTATATGTAAGTCACTTATGACATTGCGATTAGTGTAAGGGGTAAATCAAATACCTTACCATCAATATCCGTGTTTCATGGATCTGAAAAACAGTTTTGCGTATGTGTATCAGTTTCTAAGATATTTTCTTTCTCTTTACTACTCTTACTTCGGGATGTAACTGGAAAACACGCCCGGGTAAGCCTCGAAAGGTCCATTGTTTGAGCCCCGACGAGGGCAATGCACATTTTTTTACGTCTTGTGTTCCAAAATTAAAAAGCCTAATGATGATAAAATGCCTCTCTGCAGTGTCGATTGAACAAAAAAAAGGTGGTGAACGATTATTCGTTACCACCAAGATTTCGAGATTGGGTCTCTTTTCCACCAGTCACCCTTTAAGTGGGAAAGGATATAAGGTATTTTCACCTTCTTTAACGCCTGTCTTCGAGGTGTAATTGGATAGCACGTCCAGCTAGCAATCGGATTGTCTGGATTTCGAGTTCCGGCGAGGCACTACACACTTTTCATGTTTAACACACATTTCTTCTATTCCTAAATAGGATGTTCTTGGGGTCTTTGCAAGCAACATAAAGTAAACAGAATCTCAGAGTCGTATCAGATTAAAAGATATGTAAATTGATAAGTGCATACGCAATAAATTAAAGCAGTACGAAGTTATTATAAGATAAGTGAAAAGGTTATAAATTTCCTAGTGAAACAATTAAAAAAAACTTGCTTTCGCCAAGATTCAAACCAGAGATCTTTCTTTCCCTTGCCAGTAAACTGCAATGCGAAGAGAAATGCGAATAATTCTTTTTATTCTTTATCACTTAAAGGGCGATTTCAGAAAAGAACAAGAATTTTGAAACTAAATCTAAATGACGACAAATTATTGCCCCGCTTGTTCGCAAGTACTCTGTCTTAAGTTAAGAATTTTATATCCATAATCAGTTTAAATGTGCATGCATTCTCCATCACTTCTAAACCTTTAATAAAATTCACTCATTTAGGAGACTTTTTCCATTATTTCTTTTGATTGATAAACTATTAGGAATTTTATCACATCCCTTTTTTAACGTGGCTTAAAAATTCAGATTTCCACACACAAAAGTAAAAACTTTAAATTACTAAGCTAGATCTGGCAACTCTGATCCCAAAAGAGAAGAAAAGTGAGAAGCAGAATCTTGGAAAATTTCTTTTTTCAGAGATATTTGACGAGTGAAAACACATTCTGGATCAATTTATTTTTTCTTACTGCTATCAGATAGAAAATAAACTGGAAAGCAACTTGATAACATTATTTATTTATTTAAACTATTTTTATAAATCTGATTACCTTAATGAATGGTATTTTATTGAGCTAAGTTTATGGATTCAGAGAGAAAAAAAAAACAATGGATTAATTTGATTTTGGGTAATGTCTTGGATTTGTGTTTTACGAAACTTACTCCATTAAATGAGATAATTCAAAAACCAGCACTAAAGTAAATGAATTTAAATATATTTCAAAATTCTAGCTAAACTGAATAACTATGTTTATTTGCTAGCCGTCAGGGTATTATTAGTAAAACTATGCCGTCGAAGCCCAGAGCTTCCTCGGCTGATGATTCAGCCACAAAGCCTTTAGAGGCGAGCCCGACAAAACAACATGTGGTTTAATCATGTACAGACATTAGGTTATTTTGAAGCATGACAAATGAGCAATGCTCTCGCCAGAACTCGAACCTCGTCCTCTCTAAATACGCGTCGGGTGTGCTACCCGTTACACCACAAAGGCCTGCGGAAAGGTGGAAGAAAGTACCTTAGAAACATATACAAAAATTAGGTACTTGCGTATTTTCCATAAACAGGTTTCGACAAATAAAAACTGTCGCCAGACAGTGCAATATTTAGCGCAATTAGTGGCGCATTCTTTAAAAATCCTTTGGCGTCGAAATTGTTTTTCGTCACTGAAAGGCAGACTTCATATAACTTCGAGAGTCAACATTTTGTAATATGATATACCAGAAACCGAACTGAAATGAAAACAATTTAAAACTCTGATTCGTATTTTGGAATAAGATTACTGTGCAATGCATTTTTTCATACAGTGTTAAACACCGTCTTTGAAAAACTTAACTGGCCATTGATGCAAAAAACGTATTGACGAAGATTCGCATTAAAATATTTTCATTTGCTAAATTTATCCTCATGGATAAATAAAATGCCTCCTTCCAGAATGAAGAATTGCACTGCGTCTGTCCAAGATTTAAGTAAGCGTTTCGATTGTAGATGAGAGGTGCTGAGCTCGCTTTCGTAACTAACACCCTCTCATAACAAATTTCTTAAATGGAAATAAAACAGAATAGTCAGATGCTGATGTCTATGTATTCAAGCTTTGTGGCCATTTCATTGTCTCTCAAATGATTAATGTGAACACAAGCTATTTCTCCTTATAAAGTCTTTTAAGAAGCATACCTCTCTTGGTGCATAACCGTGCTTGACTTTTCTTATGATTAAAATCAATTAGCAATTCTATTCTTTGGAAATTTTCCCTTGCAGGTAGAATCTAGAGTTAAAATCCTGCAACTCCTACTAGACTAATAGCGAGTTATCGCTACATTTTATAATAAAACAAGTACAACTTGTGCTAGAGACGAAATTTATACTATTTGTGGATAGTTAAATTAGCATAGCAAAAGTTAAATTCCAACATAGAAGCGTAGTCTAGGATTACTGCCTCGGATATTTTACCAGCGCGTATTTTAAAACATCGGCTAGCGAGATGTTAAAGCCGTAATATAATTTTAAACAGAATTCACAAGAATACTATCAACAACAATTCGCTACTCGATTCTTACCTTAAAATGTTTCATTTAGTGTCTCATTTACAAATTTCTATAGCAAGCAAGCATGTTTAAATATTAATACTGCAATTAAATTTAGGCAAACTATGCTGATATCAATCTTAGCAACTAAACAATGTGAGCAATTTAAATTTTAATTTGATAAATTTGAAGAAGCATCAAACAATGTTTATATAATATTATCATCTTTAAAATATGAATTAAAAAATAAGCACCCTCTCTTAATAAAGATAGCAATCTCATTCGCTTGCATCAAACATGCAACCTCCTGATTGCTTCTTTCTTCATTGCATATTACCATAGGAATTGAATAATTATTCCAAATGGGCTTTGTCTTTGAGGGTTTTGCGTCGAATCACTCTGAATGTCCGTTTCACTTTTCAGATTGTTACCATGAAATATTATGGCCCTGTATTATATTTGAAGAAATTAAATAATGAAGAATCTGCATAAATGTATGTATGTTTCTCGCATTGTTATAAAACAACGGTATCTAGATCCATCCAATTTTGAATAACGTAATCCTACTGCGAATATGAGCATCTGGAAGCACAAATTCGAAATTTGGAATTTGTTTTATTATTGATTTCATATTTTGTCAGACATTAAAGAATTTTTCATTAAGAAACTCAACGATTTCAAAGCGAGGAATGGCAACGTTGTACAGAAAAACAATTTTATCTCCAGCGCGTGAGACTGTGCATCGGCAATTCTAAAGATGCTCAATTTAAATTACTTTGCCATATTGCTCTTGAACTGAATTTTATGGTTAACTGCGAAGAACGTGGTATTTAATAAATAAAGGTAACACACAAAATGTTTTAAAAAATGCCCCTTTGGACGTAATTTAAAATCTGAAACCTTTCAGACTTTTTTTTAAATTTTTAAATGTTTATGTGTGAATCTTTATTATAAAAGCACTCTAAATTTGTAATATAACACAAAGGAATAAAAATTGCGTTTTTCTCATAAAGGTTTTGAAAGGATGAAGATAATCTGCAGCTCACTCGATATAAACAACGCGGGCATTGACACGAACAATGAACGAAGAGAAAAAAAGATGGTGCCAGAGTTGAAAATTGGTTTTGTTATTATTTGCGTCTGTGCTGCGTGTGTGCTCAATCCCACGCCAAAGTAATCCTGCGAAATAATATTTTTACTTAAGTAATTATGGCTCCAGCTGCCAAGTTTGTCACAAGCTTCAAACAGCTGAGGACTGTCAGTGCGAAATAATAATTAAGCTCAAGGTAAAAAGTAACATTATAGAAACTAAATGTTTATAAGACGCAAAGAAAGGCGTAAATAATTAATCAATGCTGATAAAGATAATTGACATTTATTTATAATATGATTGAAGTTAATCTGTTAAGAGACGCAAAGAATTATCAGAAAGATATAAAATATAATTTAATATTAATGAAATAATATTTAATTATTTAATAAGCATTAGATTTTCTTTTTGATAGCGAATTAGGTATTTAGTCTTCGAAGTGGGAGATGAATTTCGAGCTCTTCATTTAATCTTTTCACTTTTCAGTATTAATCATGGAACCCATTAGCAGAACGCACGACTAATGTGATCACGTTTGTTCGCGATTGCTTTGATAACATTAACCGAATGATAACGTTAAACCACGGGGAAAATAGCCTTAAAACTATCAATGGAATTTAGCTAATTTAATATAAATATCACTACACACCGAAGATGACATCCGTCCTAGTTCTTGCCGTACGGAATTGAACGTCATTTCTGCGGAAATCAGTTACATTGGCATACAAGGCCTGTTGTTCAGTACATATTATTTTCTTTTGTTACAAGATACTTTAAATAGCACAGTATTACATATGAACACTCTTATAACATAAATCAATACTATATAGAAGTGAAATTATATTGTACGTATACACATACTAGTGCAATAGATTTGGCAGTGCATTAAATGAATACTACATTTGGTGTATAAATAAGTCAAATGTGATACATTTAAGTGATGACAATCAATGTGGAAGAAAACTTTTT